TGCAACTAATTATTAATTTGAAAGCCAAGGATGTCCAAATCAGCAAATTCTGCTAGTGATCATTGCCTTCATCACAGTATTTTTTATTTTTATTTAAAATTGTTTAACAATGGCTTTTTAAAGGTAGTTGCCCTTTTTTGCTGCTTTAGTTTCTAGGAAAATGTTTATTACATATTCTGAGATACACATACATAGACACATATGCACACATACCTCTATTTTACTCATAGAACATTCAGCAGACACTGTAGGTGAACAAAAAATAAAATCATAAGATACAAATCAGTCTTTATATGTTCAGACACTAGTGTGAAATCCACATATTTAAGAACTATTTGTGATTTACTATTAAAATCCAACATATACTAACCTTTGTATTATATAAATAAACTGTCTCACTCATATTGAGCAGGAGAGAGAGAGAGAGAGAGAGAGAGAGAGAGAGAGAGTGTATTCCATATGATGGAATAAAAATTGTTGAACTATTATACTGTTTTAACATTACAATTCTGTTCTGTCTTAAAATACGTTGGCCTCATGCATCACGTTCCCCCACATCAAATTGTTGCCTCTTATTCCAAGGAATTCCTTGACAAATTTCATGTAGGGAATAATTTAGTGAAACAGTATGTCATAAACAAAATTATAATCTCGCTAAAGTAATTCCAGACATTATTATAGAAATATATCTTCATATGCACCTGGCAATAAATTAGGAAGTGAGGAAAGAAGAGAGAGAGAAAGAGACAGATTTTCTTTCTATTGTGTCTATGGGAGAATTATCACTGCCCAACCTTTAAATCCTGATTCCCTTGCACATAAATTTCCTATATATAATGTAGGTATCACTACTGAAAACTGGGATCTTCAGAATGCCGTTCTACCATCATCTTGGAAAGCCATAGCCACAGGAGTAAATATACTCATTTGAAAATGCATTGCAACATTGCATGCCTGAGCAATATTTTTAATTTTATTTCATTCCATTCATCCTTGGAAATGCCTAAGAAGTCTGATATGAGTTTCTAGGCAAGACTTCCCTCCACCTACTGTGTTTCTCATAAAATAAGGCCAGGTCTTATATTTTTTTGAGCCCCGAAAAAAACGGCTAGGCCATCTTTTCGGGAGTGACTTAACACCCCGCCTTGCATCCTCTTCTAAGCGCCCCATGGGCAGCCTCGCCACCAGCCACTCCTAACGGGTGATCATGGCGGAGAGCAGAGAGCTCCCTACTCCCGCCAAACACCTTTGCTGTAGACCCAAGACCTTCGGTGCCTGCTGCTGTTGCTTTCCTTTCTGCCCATGCCGCTACCGCGTTTGGAGCTGCCGCTTCCATGTTTGGAGCACCTCTGCCGTTTGGAGCACCGCTGCCACGTTTGGAGCTGATGCTTCTGCGTTTGGAGCTGCCACCGTGTTTGGAGTACTGCCGCCATTTGGAGTGCATTTGGAGCAGCGGCAGCACTCCAACAGCGGTGGTGCTCCAAACACAGAAGCAGCAGCTCCAAATGCAGTGGTGCTCCTCCAAATGCAGCAACAGCTCCAAATGCAGAAATGGCAGTTCCAAATGGCAGCAGTGCTCCAAATAGCGGCGGCGCTCCAAACCTGAAAGTGGCAACTCCAAACGCAGCGACAGTGCTCCAAACGCAGCGGGAGCTGCAAATGTGGAAGCAACAGCTCCAAATGCAGAAGCGGCAGCTCTAAATGGCGGCAGTGCTCCAAACAGTGGCAATGTTCCAAACGTGGAAGTGGCAGCTCCAAACACAGTGGCGACATGGGCAGAAGGGAAATCAACAGCAGCAGGCACTGAAGGTCTCCAGTCTGCAGCAAAGGTGCTTGCTTGGCAGGAGTAGGGAGCTCTCCATGCTCCGCCATGATCACCCATTAGGAGCAGCTGGTGGTGAGGAATGGCTGCCCACGGGGCGCTCCTAATGGCAAGTCCCCCCACCCTTCCTCCCATTTCACATGTTTTAAAATAGGCCTAAATTTGGGGGGAAGGGCTTAATTTCATTTTATGCCTAGAAAACATGCTAGGTCTTCCTATTGGGGGAGGCCGTATTGTTGGAGAAACACGGCATTTATAAAGCTGAGATTTAAAAAAAAAACATTTTATAGTGCAACATCATCAGTGCCTCCAGCTTCTCTTGCAACTACTTCCAAGTACTCCCATTAGTAATTGCAGTATATGCTAATACATTTCAAAGAAAATATAGAACTATTGCACAACTCCTGAAACATCTTTTCAACACCGTTGTGTCTTTCACAGCACACAAAAAGTGAACTGGCCTCCTGACGTGAGGTCATTAAACACAAAAGCAGTTTGGAAGAATACCTCATATAAGAAAGCCAAAAATGTAGCCAAACCAGAGTTCATAGGTTCTTCTATTGTTAAAAAGCTCTGCTGCATCTAAAGTGTTACGGTCAGAAAAGAAGCACTGAAGCAGAATTACTTTAGAACTATCACTTTTATGCAGATACAAGTATGCAACAGACATGACTAGAATTCAAATCTGAATTTCTTAACCCAATTTCCATCAGCTCTTTCTCATCAAGCAAGAGGCTTTGCTTTCAAATGAGAATTGGAAAATAGCTTGTATACAAAAAATGACAGAACTATATTTACAACTCAAAAGACTACAATGTAGTTATGCCTTTGAGACTCAAGCAGCATTTGCTTTTTCTTTCTCTCTTCAGACAGGTACTTATTATGCCTTTCCTAATCAATCTCTTCCTCCCTCTGCCATCTCCTGCTCCCTTTAAATTGCCCTCCCCATATGCCCACTTTTTAAATACTCCTAACGCATTTCAGGATACACACTAGATAGTAGCAGTGGGATTTAGGCACCTGCAAGCTAACCAAAAAGGCTCCCCTGCCCTTATGGACAAAACTATCTTCCTAATTGCTCTCGATGATTATTCATTTTTAATTGCTTCCAATTGCAGGAAGCCACACAGGAAAGCAAGTTTCAGGCAGAATCCTCTGCAGTTATTAATCCCTGAACTTCCTCTCCTTGCAGGTCACGGTAGAGAATTCAGGGATGGCAGAATATATTTTTAGCATAAAAGATAAATTAATACTATTGATAATTATGTAAAAAAGTATTCACTTTTGAATAATTAAAATTCCACCATACAGCTTTTATCCTATAAATACCTGAAGTTTAGTCCATCATCAGTAGCACCCTTATAAATTTCCGATTTATGCTGATCGTACCATAAGCAATGATGCATTCCTATACTTCAGTAAAAAAACTAAAAATATATAGCACTGCTTTTTAAATTTTATATCTATTTGCTTTTTTGTTTTGTTTTACTTGTTTGCAAATCTCGGGCTTAACTAATGGCTAATTGACATTACTTGGTTTTATTACAAAGGGGCTCTCAAAATCTCCCTTTAATTACTAGTATCAGAAGGAATATCCTGAAGGATGAAAATGGACTTGAATGAAAGAAAAGGGCTTGATGGTCAATTTTCAAAGCCCAGCTCATATTGAGAGCATATGGTATGGGAAAGCGTTTTGACAGAAATAGTCCTTAGGCAGCATACATTTGTAAAACAGGAAACATGAAAGAGGAACTCAACTAGAAACTAGATTTTCCCCATCAATGTTTATTCAGTTGGTTGCCTGAATAAATCCTGAACCAGGATTACGCAACTCTCAGAAAGAGATGGGTGAAATAATATGAGTATATAAGTTAGCCCTTTGGAACAGCCTCTGCCCTAACATTCGAGGGAGCCCTACCTTCTTAGCCTTCCAGAGGGCTGTGAAGATGCCTATATCTTTCCTAAGCATTGGGCAAGGATGTGGGTTGAGCTGTGAGGACACTTGGTCTGACACCTGGGGAGAAAGATATTTGTTTTTAACCATGTCTTCATAGAATGTTGTGAGCCACATAATCATTATATGGGATAGGCAGCCATATATGCCCTATAAATAAATAAACAAATAAAATTACAATCTACTTATTAGTATAATGAAAAGGATTATTCTCCTCTCCTGCCATATTATCATATTCCATTTTGTCATGTGTAGAATTAGAGTTGATAACAACATTTGGAGGCTTCTGAGAATTGTACTCAGGTCTTCTGGGGACACATTTGGTCCTGGCATCTCAGGTTATACCTCTCTGTCCTAAGTACATATGGCAATGCTTTTATGATATGCTTGTTTTACAAGTGGGCCCTCAAAATGATTCATACTCATGTGGAAATTCAGATAACTACCTTACATGAAATAAGTACTCAATCCATCTAAGTACTATCTGTTAAGGGGTTTCTTCAGGAATTCTGACTAGCAACCTTCCAATCAATAGAAGATCTCCAAGGCTGAGCCTGAAATCTTCTGCTTGAGAAGCAAATATTTTAACACCAAGGAAAAAAGCAGGCTGTTTCCTTTCTCTGTGACTATCAAAAGCCTGTACCATTTGAAGATGTGTAACAACAGATTAGGAGTAAGATCATCATGGGGAATATCTATGGGGTTACTAGAAATTGAAAACAACTTCATGGCACATAAACCATCAATGATTTTTTTTAAAAAAACACGCATACCTTTTTTCATTCTGAGAGAAGGAAATGTAAGAAATGTTATAATGATGAGTGTATTCTATATATGTACGTTTTTGACAGGAGAGCATATTTTTCAGCATAGCATATTGTACATCTCAACATTATATTTTCATCCTTTGGGACAATTCAACCAAGAGTCTACCATGACACTACACACAAAACCTATCCTAAGCCAGATTAATAGAATACCACACTGATATAGATAGTCAAAAGCTACCATAAGTACTGACAAACTTATGGTTTACCTCCATCTGTAGATGCATAGCTATTGTAATTTCCAGTCTTCCCAACCCATTGATTGTTAATAAAGTAAATTAACACTACTGACATCTGTAGCTGCAATATCTCTAGAAGGCAGCAGAATGAGAAAAAATGAAGTACAATGTTCTATTAAACGCTGCAGATTTACAATAAAAGAAATAATTTGACTTACCTGAATGGCTTCTGTGATATGATGAGGCCAGTGTCAGTCTTCCCCAAAGCATTATAAGGCAGAGAGAGAGCACCAATACTCCTTTGCTCAAACTTTGGACGTTCCTTTCACTCATTCTGCCATGCAAAAAAAAGGAAATAAATTAAAATGCCTTATATTGGGGATAGAGAACTTTGGGTCAGATAGTAGGAAAAGAAGATGCACAGTTATAAGATTTGATCAGACTGTTCTTTCTACAAACAATGAAATTATATTTCAGCATTTCTATGTTACAATCTTTCCTAATGACAAGTTACAAATATGTTATCCTAATATAACTTTTTGCCTGTGAAATAACTTCTGAATCAGCAAGAAATCCCACTGTCAGGATGCATATTTTTAGAACACCAAGTCCTTCAATGATTTGTATAAAAAACTTTTTACATGCTTGTGCTAGTGAAAAATAAAACAGTCCTCTAAACAGAATTCTAACAATAGGAACATGAGGAATATCCAAGTTCACATTTTTCTAAGGAAAAGTTTTATTCCCATTATATGTCTGCATACGCACATTCAAACATAGATATGGAACAGCTCAGTGATTTAGAGACATGGTGCAACTTCAACTTTACTTCTCTTGCTTCTAATCATACACTTAGATTGATTAAAGCCAAATTGAATGACAGCCATCTCTGAGAAAATACAGATAGTAGCTTCACTATATGCAGCACAAAATGTCACCATATCATTCTCACAAAGGAGGGTATAACTTTAAAAAGACAGAAATCCATTTATTAATGTGAAAGCATTATATTATATTTATAAAATGCTTAAAATAAATAAAAATAGACATAAGAGGAAACCATTTAAACATTAAGTAATAAGAGTGTATGAACTTTACAGAAAAAAGCTGTTTCATGCTGAAGACTAATTAGAATTTGGATTTTTTCTAATCTTGTCTAACCCCTACGCTTATTGCCCTTGGACCTATGAAGTACTCTCTGTCAAGAAAAGAAAGCAAAATTCATTTGGCCAATGTGAAACAGTTGAATGCAATAATGATATGGTACTTCTGCAACTGTATCTAATTTAGAAAATAAGACATTAGATGATCTGGAGTGGTCCTGAATATTAAATGTTCTGTGGGCCATGCAATTCATACATTTCCACTGCAAACTATAACTTCATATAGTCCACAAATAACAATGGCTGAAATGACCCCAAACCTGATACAACATACTATAGTTCTGTTACAGTTGTATCTCCATAATGGCCTATCCAAGAACACTAAAAACGTCGTTCTATTTATAACTTTCTAAGCATGGCTTGGGGAAAGGGAACATATTTATTCTGAGTAATAGTAGGGTCTTTAGTATTCCAATTCCAAATAACAGCTTATCAGAACTTTTATTTTTCTGCATTTCAAGAGTCAGTCTCACTCTCAGTGGGAAAAGAGAGCAAATTGGCTTTGTATAAAAAAATAAGCACTGAAATTCATTTATTTTTGATAGGTAGGTAGGCAGGTAGGTAGGTTGGTAGGTAGGTAGACAGGCAGGCAGGCAGGCAGGCAGGCAGGCAGGCAGGCAGGCAGGAAGAATAAATATATGCAACCCAGCCTAGACTACCTCAGCAAAGATACAGGGATGAGATAACTACAGTTGACTATTTCACAATCCTGCCTCTTCCATTAATTACAGAATTACAAAATAACAGTGGAAGGAACCTTGGAGGTCTTTTAGTCTTACCCACTATTCAAGGAGAAGATCCTATACCATTCCAGATAAGTGACTGTCCAATTTCTTCTTAAAAACCTCCAGTGGTGGAACATTCACAACTATTTCCCATTTCTTTCTATGGTCAAGATTCATTCAATTCTCCCATTTTTGTGTCACGCATTTCCCACCACTACAAATCCCATAACTAGATAAGTGTTTAAGCAACTGCTATACTTACCTCCTATTGGGACTTTACAGCTACTGTCTGTGCATTGGCCAATCTCAGGTAGACTTGGTGTTTGAAAAGAAGGGGAAACATTAGGGCATCTAAAAATGAAAAAAGCATCAGTTTACATTTTTTTCATTGGAGAACTGAAAAGTAATTTACAAATATTGAAAGCCTTAAACTATCTTATAAACTTTTTCATAAAATATTGCAGGCCAGATTTCTATATATGTATCAATTTTTACTTTATGTTCCTTCTTCTCTTTCCCCAACCCAATACTCCATCCACCACCTATTCTTTTATTCAGCCATCCTTATATCAAGTTCATGGCAAACAAATCCATGCTTACTTTATGTATATGTTGAAGAAGGTTTATGAGTGATATTATTTTGCATAAAATATTTCTGTTTTACACTTCTGCCAATAGGAAACAATGGTATTTCTGTTTGCCTGTGGAAATGTATGTACTTTAAACAACTGATTTCCAATGAAGTTAACCAAGTTTACTGAATAACCTATTGGTAGAAAAATCAATTGAGTTGTTCCCAAACATACTAGGGAGAAACTGACTAGAAAGTTAGGTCAGATAAGTTTTAAAGGTGTGGCTAGAGAACTATCTATCTCTAAAGCCAGATCAAAAGAACTCTCAATGACATAATCAAGAAAAGTCAGATGACACACACAAAAAAGAACAGTGGTAAATGAAAAACAGCTGGAGTCCTTTCCTAAAAAATAAATGAAAAACTGAAAACAGCAGTTAGGGCACAGTACATGAAGATTAGCTGCACCTACAAGATCTGTGTGCAATTATAGGCATGAGAATGGACTGTTTCAGTGAGTGAGAAATAGAATAATCAGTGAAATTAAAATATACAGACATTATGATACAATATGATAAAAGAAGCCTGAAGTTTTGCCATTATTTTTAGAAAACTTTGTGGAGAATTGAAATATATACATTAACTTGTATAAATTATACAGAAATAAATAAATGATACAGCTACTCCATTCTTGGTACTTTGAAACCTTGTGAAAGACAAGAATGGATCATTAATCTCTAGATTAAGAGAAAAAAGAAATTCATGAACAAGGAAGGAGTAAGTCCCTCTCTTATTAAAATAAGTGTAATTTCACCTGCAGAAAGAAATCATTCTTTCAGATGAGTTTGTCCAATGTCTAGAGGAATTACAGTGCTCTGTTCCTATCTGATACCACCCATAAAATCCATCAATTATAGAATATTCAGAAGTCAGTTTGGGATTTTATTTCAAATTCTTTTTAAATGATTTGAATACGTTTAAAAAGGCATTAGGAGAAAAAGTTTCCTATTTTATTTCCACATTTTAATATCTGTAGGTTGGCAAACAGAGCTGCTGTCTATGGCACTTGAGAAACAAGCCACAAGCCACTTATTTCCGTTTTTCAAATTGTGATCTTTAACTAAGAAATGACCAAGAAATGCAAAGAACAGCAAGCAGAGAAACAAACCTGTCCAATGCAAACACAATTTACCAGGGATGGGGGAAATGACAGCTTCACAATCTTGCATATTACCTGCTGGGATTTAGCAGAGTCTGAAGAACTACAGTAGCTATAAAATTTTAATGCCCAATTTGAATTTATTAACACTGAGACAGAAAGCAAGTGCATGTTGCTTGTAATGATATAGATTCCCAACTGGACACAGAGCCAACTCACAGCTCTTTCTGATCAAAACATGAACTGGGTTTCTCTAATGATTTATTTCTTTTTTAAAATAAGATATTTATTATGAACCTATTACTCTTTCTTGTTGGTTTCAGGGAACTTCTATGTGTCACAAAAAACTGCCTGAAAGGTTTCTGGATGCCAGTGCAATTGTTTTAGATGCACAGAACGACAACAAAAGAGAAAGGCTGCTAGGTTTGTGGATATACACCCTATTTTACGCTCCTGTTTTCCCATTAATTCCTGCTTACAGCAGACAAATATAGTTATATCAAGATACAAATGAAAGGTTTATTTTGAAAAGCATACTTTGCATCATTATTTATCTCCCAAATATAAACTAGCAATCCAAGAATTACAGGCTCTGACTCAGCATTTTAAGAAGACACTAAACAAGGGTGACATAGTAATTTGCTTGGTTAAAACATACAATATCTCTGTACAATTAAGGGGGGAACATTGTGAAGCTAATAAAATATAAGTCTTTTAGTGAATTATACCAATATGAAGCACAGTTGGGGAGCCCAATATTTTGGCATCACAATTTTTTCTTTCCCATCTCAGAATTTTCTTCACAGTAGGAATTCCTCTAGCAACAGGAAATTCTTTAGCAACAGAAATCTTTTCAAACATATCTGTGTGTGAGAGAGTATGTGTGTGCATGCATACGTGTGTGTATATGTGCATGAGCCCAGGACTAATGATTATATATATTATAGTCTGACTTATGGCTGGCATTCAAACTTTTGATCATTGCAACATTCTTGCAGCCATGTGATCGCAACCTGGGCACTTTATACCTGCATGTATTTATGAGGGTTGCAGTGTTCCTCATGACCACAATTTGTGACCTTCCACCTGGCTTCCAACAGGCAGAGTCAATGTGAAAGACATATTTGCTTCATAATTACAGGAAAAAAGTCATAAAATCAAGCACAATCACATGATGACCCACTTAATGACCGCATCGCATCAGACATTCTGGTCCCAATTGGGGTCATAAATTGAGGACTACCTGTATCACTTTAAGTTGATAACATAAAAAGGTTAATGTGACAAAAGCAAGCTAGAAGGTGGAACAAGGAAACATAAAATTAATATACCCGACATAGTGCAGAAATCTGGAGAATTTTTGAATGCATGAGGGTGAGATAGGTTCCACAAAGGAGGTATATCTGCACAACACAGACACTGATATTTAACATCTGTAATCAACAGCCCTCTCTTATACTATCCCAACAAAAAGCACATCCAAGGAAATGAGCTGGTTATCACAGGAGCTTTGGAAATCTCTGAGATGATTTCCTAGGCTTGAATGGAAGGAGAGAACTTTTAGCATCATACATTTGATTTATGTATGTTTATTTAGTCAGGTACTTAATGAGCAACATTATTTTACCCTTGTATTAGTGCTGGTACAATTTTACTGTTTCTATTGCTATTGTAACTGGTGTTTATCTGAATTATATTGTTAATTTTGTATTAATATTTTATTGCTATTTTAATTGAATTTTGGACAGCTGCTCCAACAATGTTAAGGTGGTAAAAATCCTATTGTTTTGAACCTTGCTGCTCTACGCCACTATTATAACTGTTTTCCCTAATGAAGTGTCTTAAGAGATATAAAACTTCAACTCCCACTGTGCTGAATTATGGCAACTGAAATTCAAGGAACCTGAAGTGCACCACACTGGGAAAGACTGTCAGTTTTAAGATCTTTTTCCTTTTTTATTTAGCCTACATTACCCAATGTCACTTCTGATTGTTCACTTCAAAAATACCTGCTGAAACCACAACAGACAAGCATATATGCATTGAAGCACTTAGATCTCTGTTTAAAAAGCATTAATACTATAGCGCCTGTGGAGTGCCATCTGGTGACCTTCTTTAAAAACCTGGGCCATTTTAGAGAAAGATGTATCAAAAATCATTTGGAGGGCTGCTGTAAAATGTTAGTAGAGCAACTCATGGATAAAAATCACCCAGATCCACTTGGAATTGGTTTCAAATTTTAATAAAGTTATAGAAAAAAAAGAAGCTGTCTGTACAGAAGTGATGAGGTGGTTGGGCAACATCTTATGTTATCATCTGGGAAGAATTTGAGCCTCTTATTCCTGAGAAAATGGCAGAGTTCTGAGCTCTATAGCCTGCAGACTAGACCTTCTCCCCACTTATTTGTACACCGAATAAGAATTATGGGGGAAGCATGGTGAACTGAAGACATCTCTGTGAAAGTGGAAATGAAGCCTAATTTTGATATATACGCTCCAATCTAATTGGAGTGCCAGCAATGTATCATCTTTTGCTGCAGTTCTAGCATTGAAGCTGAAATGAATCTTTTCTTTTCCTTCTTTCTTTTCCTTTTTAATGAAAGTAAAAAAGCTCATTGTTTTGTCAATATCTTAAAGCCTGTGCTGGAATTTTCATGGAAGGTATTGAAACAAAATATTGAGCTGAGCAAGGATTTTTTTCCATTGCAATTCATCCCAAATTATTGAAATATTTTGAAGCCCAATTTTTTTCATCTTCTTGTATAATTTCTCCCAAGCTGTTATATAATTATTAGTAAAATATTAATATTTTAGTAATAATGATACCTAAACATTTTAAAGATTTATGTTCTACTAGAATCCACAAATCTGTAGAGATTTCTTATTACGTTTTGGAGGGCATATGAAAACAGATCAGATCTGATTTGTGAAAATTAATTGATAGTGCTGACACTTCCACAAATTCCTCTTTCTTAATATAGTTATCTGAATGGGAAGTATTTGAGAAAACCAGAACTATATCATCTGCAAATAGATTCAAAAGATACATCTCATTACCCAATTTTATCCATTGAATCTGACTGTTGAGTCAAGGTACTATTGCCAGCTCTTCTATAGCTTAGTTGAATAATAAAGGTAACTTTTACCCAAAAAGTAAATGATTGTTAGTGACTTTTATTGTTTAAATGTTTCTTTCATGTGTTTTTATACATGAGTTTTAGAATTTGTAAAAACTGTATATTGTCTCAATATTTTTAGCAAAAAAGAGAGGGATATAAAATATTTATAGATTTTTTTCAGATAAAAAGCAAAATTAATGACTAAATAAATAAAAAGGCAAAAGATGTACTAGCTAATGCAGGTTAATTGATCCTCTGGGAAAGAGAATATCCCAGCATATAGATGATATCTTGATTAGACAAAGTCTGCTTTGAACTATCAATTTAAAGAGCCATACAACAACTCTCAGTATCAATTATACTTCTTGACATAGGCAGACAAATGAAAGAAATCTTGTTGACAGAGACCTTCAACAAAGCAAAGATGAACTGCAGGAATCCTATTTAGCCTATAAATTTTGAACAGGACCCTGGTCAGCACCCCTAGGCACTCTCACCAATGG